CTTCCGATCGCCATTTCTAGTTCAAGAATGGAAATCACTTGAGAAAAATGGATCAAAGAGGGAAACACTCCGACTTGATATGATGGATAAATCATCTTATAAGTACAAAAAGGCAGATGTTCTCATCTTCAACACAGGACATTGGTGGACTCATGAAAAAACTTCCAAAGGGTAATGTTGATGCCACCTATTTGTCCATGTTGTTGATAAAATAACTCAAGTGGAGAAGCTTCTAACAGTTTAAGAATTTGCAGAAAGGGTTACTATCAAGAGGGTAGCACTATCTATGACCGATTAAATGTTAAAGAGGCATTTCGAAAGGCTTTGACTACATGGGCAAAATGGATAGATAACAATATAGATCCTATCAAGACCCTTGTTTTCTTCAGGGGCTTTTCTGCATCACACTTCAGGTAAATTGAACGCAAAATATGTCAAGTTAAACCCCTAAGATAGGGAAACAGAGTACCTTTTAATTCATTTTGCTTGTTCACAGGGGTGGAAGATGGAATTCTGGTGGTCAATGTGATGGTGAAGCAGAACCTATTACCAATGAGAAGTACTTGAAGAAATATCCATCAAAAATGCGGATTTTTGAGTCAGTGATAAAGGGTATGACTAAACCAGTATTGTATCTTAACGTTTCTAGAATGACTGGTTTCCGGAAGGACGCACATCCATCAATATACAGGAAGCAGAACTTAACGGAGGAGGAGAGAAGTTCGCCAACAAGAGTCCAGGATTGTAGCCACTGGTGCCTCCCTGGTGTTCCTGATACTTGGAACGAACTGGTATATGCTCAACTCCTTGTCAAACATAATCAACATCAGAAACAACTTCTGCATCAAGAACAACAACAGGGAAGGCCATAGGTAAAATTAATGCAATTTAAGTTTGTAAATTCTTGTTTAGTCACTAAATTTATGTAGATCGATTAGCATATGTTTATTTCTCAGTGAAAAGTTTACTTCCAAGGGAGAAGTGTAAAATGATACTATTCTTTGGAGAAAAAAAAAAGGTAAGAATACATAAATGCTGTTGTCAATAATTGGCTGTAAGTTTCTTCCTACCCAATTACACTCATTTAGCCTCTAATTGCCAGTAGCCTACAAGGCTCTCATGATTTTGTTATTGAAAGTAGTATTATGGTTAATTATCTTTTATAATATGAGCTGCAGTCAGTTTGTATCTCTTATAAAAAATATGTTTACTTACAGTACACAACTTGTAAATGAATCTTTGCCTGATTCTTTATGAATTTCGCTGGTAGAATAGAGGTCCTGAATAACTTGGGCCTGTATTTTATTTGGAAAGTGATATCTATTTGATCTGTATGCTTCTGGATTTGTGTTAAAGATCTTTTAACCGTTTGGAATTACAATGCTAGATATGGATTTCAGATGAGATTATGCTCTTTTAAAATAGGAGATTAGATCCCAAAGGTGGGCTTACAACTTGTTCTATCAGCCTCCTTAATGCCTGGCTAATGTAATATGAATCATCCAGGCTGTATATGGTTTTGGTGAGATTTGAAGAAGTTTCTGCTTGTTTGTTATCTTGTTTCTGTTTTCTTTGGTTTCTTGATAATTGAACTGAGCTAGAGAATGATGACCAATACCATATAGAGCTAACAGATTAGTACTGTTCTTGAGGCCAATGGCTGACACCTCAGATTTCAGTTCATTAGAGGTGAAATTGGACTGAGGTTCAAGTGTTGAATATGATTTATTTGTCAAGAAACTGAGTTTCTTTGTATTATAAGTTAAAAACATCTGTATTGTGCTAGACTTTTTGTTCATTTTGGGATATGCAAAGACTAATTGCAGTTTTAAAGGGGAAAAGGGTAGGAATGATCAAATATGATCAAACAATCTGCATGAGTAAACAGGTTAGAGACACAAAACAAATTGTTCTGATTTGTATCACCACAAGGTACTGCATTATCTGTCAACCAAAGGAAGTATGGGGGAAAAGAGGCCCATCTTTTAAATTTTACTATAATTTCAGTTGCTTGCCTTGATATTTCAGCTCTTATG